TACCCCGAGGCGGAGTTCGCAAACCGAAGCAAAATTTTGCGGCCGGAGCTGCTCGTAACCCAAAAAGTTCGTTAACAGAAGCGTTTGTAACCCGAGGTTCCACTGTATATGAACATAGAATCATGGCTTGGAACCTATGAAGCTATTGTGAAAATAATGAGTTTGGACATACATCCACTGGGTACCAGGATAAACTTGTAATTTCCGTAGTCAAGTAAGATGTTCCTAGAAAACAGATAATCCTGTGACCAGTTGCATATTTTTTGGCAAAAATCTTCAGTGATCCTGGTGAGAAGCTTCTGTAAATTGAAGAAAAATTGGTTCGTTTCTCAGGTTGATTATGTGTTCCCTCCCCAAAATTGCCATGTTATGTGACTGATAAAATGTTGCTATGAATTTACATGCAAGTCTGTTGCAGTGGATCACCTGTGAACTTACCTAACCTTAACTGATGTAAGCTCTTCATGTTCAACTTTCTGCCTTCCTGACTCAGGTTGCAAAAAGTTTCCTGGAAACAACATTAATACCTATTTCCAAAATATGCCTATTTGTTACCTTTTCATATTAAATAGTTGCAAAGTTTCCCGGGTACAGGACTGAAACAGCATTGGTTGCACTTCTGGATGGCGTCTGGCGTGAGCAGGATGGGGGTTGTGCATCCATCTTTGCTCAACTTGACCTCTTGGTGGCCTTTCATACCATCAACCATGGTATCCTTCTGGGACAACTCCATGGATTGAGGAGGGGGGGCACTGAATTGTGCTGGTTCTCCTCCTCCTTCCAGGGCCAGTTCCTGGAAGTTGATCAGGAGTGTTGATCAGGAGCAAGAGGCCCCACCCTCGTCCCCTGCTTTGCGAGATCCTGTAGAGTTCAGTACTCTCTCTGCTCCTGTTTAACATCTACATGAATGTGCTGGGAGAGGTCATCCATCGCCATGTGGTGAGGTATCAGTATACTGGGTACGCTGATGATACCCAGCTATGCATCTCCATGCCTGGTGAATTAAGTGATGTTGTTGATGTCCTGTCTCAGTGCCTAGAGGCTGTTGGGGTTTGGATGGGGAACAACAGGCTTCAGTTCAACCCTAGCAAGACTGAGTAGCTTTGGAATTTGTGACTGTCTGGTTCCTGGGATTTATTTACCACCCCCTTGTTCTGGTTTGAGTGCCACGGCCCCAAACAGATTCTTTGTGCAACGTGGGGGTCCTCCTGGACTCATGACTCATTCAAAGAGTAGGTGGAATTCATGGCCAGGAGGGCTTTCGTGCAACTTGTGTTGTGTGCCACTTGTGCCTATTCCTGGATCAGGAAGCCCTACTGTGGGTCACTCATGCCTAGGTTACCTCCTGAATGGATTACTGTAATGCTCTGTACATAGAGCTACCCTTGAAGAGCATCTGGAAGCTGAAGCTGGTGCAAAATATGGCTGCATGGGCAGTTATGTGTGCTCCTTGTTCAGTGCACGTTACACCTCTGCTCCACAAGCTGCATTGGTTGCCAGTGTGCTTCAAGGTGCAATTCAAGGTGCCGGTAATGACCAGTAAAGCCCTACATGGCATGGGACTGGGTTATTTGACAGACCATCTCTCCCCGATTACATCTACTTGCCCCATTGGGTCTGGCGGGAGAGGCATACTCTGGGTCCCATCTATTAAGGAATGTCATCTGACGGGGCCCAAGAGGAGAGCCTTTTCTGTCATGGTGCCCACCCTTTGGAACATTGCCCCCCAGAGATTAGATTAACCCTGATCCTACTGGCCTTTTAAAGGCCCTGAAGATATGGTTTTATCATCCTGGTTGGGGATCCAGTGGTGGTGTGGAGCCTGTTTGATGGTTATATCAAGCGCTATGAATGTTTTGTACTTTGGCTGCTTATTGTAATGGTTTTAATGGTTTTAACATGGTTGTATTTTTTGTTTTTCTTTGTAATTTTTTAATTGTTTTTTGGTGTTTGTAATTGTTGTAAACCACCCAGAGTCATGTATGTGAGATGAGCGGCTATACATATTGAATAAATAAATGAATAAAAAATACTCACTGTAATTAATCTCATTTGTACCTTATCTATCTCTAGGTCCATATCTTGGTAACTGATTCTTACTGGTGGCTGGACAGATTTCCCTCATGCCGCTTGGACTAGGCCGTCGAAAGAAGGCCTCCCCTTTGATGGAAAATGAGGAAGCTGAGCCCATCCGCAGTAGCCTGGGTGGGATGGGGGTTGGAGGTGTGGGTAGTGTGGCAGCACTTCAGCCTGGACTCCCCCCTCCACCAGCCAGCCTCCGTCCTCGTCTTGTATTCCACACCCAGCTAGCCCATGGAAGTCCTACTGGCCGGATCGAGGGCTTTACTAATGTCAAGGAACTTTACAACAAAATTGCAGAGGCCTTTAAAATATCCTCAACTGAAGTAAGCACAATCTTTGTATTGATTATTGTATGCTCATTGTGTGTCTGGTAGTTTTGTGCAAGATCAGATCTATGGGGAAATATTTTTGGGTGAACTGAGGGTGGTAATCTGTCTCTCTGTGTCTAGAGAAGTATCTTGGAACCTAAGATGAATGTTGATGATCAAAGGCCTCCTGGCCCTTTATTACAGAGACCTGAGGGAGCAGCTATCTCCTGCACCCTCAATATCAGATTCTTACTGTACTTCCTTGATATCTTTCTAGGTGATGTTCTGCACTTTAAATACCCACAAAGTGGACATGGACAAGTTATTGGGTGGTCAGATTGGCCTGGAAGATTTTATCTTTGCCCACACAAAGGGCCAGAGGAAAGAAGTGGAAGTGTTCAAATCTGAGGAGGCCCTGGGTCTGACTATCACAGACAATGGTGCTGGCTATGCTTTCATCAAGGTATCTTTGAATGGTCACATAAAGTCTCCTACTGAATTCTTGCTTCGCTCTTCCTGGTGTAGGATTCTGATTTTTTTTCAGCTCTGTCCATTCTGCTTGCTCTGTCCTTCAAAAACTATCAGCTCTGAAAAAACAAAGCCCTTCAATTTCTTATATTTTTAGTAGTTTTTCCAATAACGTATTGATTCTGGTGTTTACAGATAATAATTCTTGTCTGAACTGAGTTTTTCTTGAATCTAATGTCTTTATAGCACCTAGAAGCCTAATCCTATCTAAATTTAGTCTTTTTTTTTTCTTTTCCATCTTTCTAAGAAAATGTTATTTTTTCCAAAGTGAGTCCAAAATGATAAGATTTCACAACAAAGTCTTTCCTGTGTATCTGCTGAAGGCATGTGAAATAAGATTATCAAGTCCTATCTCTTTATGATGCTAAACAGAGAGATCCTGATAAGTAACTTTAAAAAGCTTAAAGCAGATTTCTTCAGTTTTACGTCCTTCAGGGTATTTGTGTTCTTCATCCCAGAATTCTTAATAGCAATGCTGGAATACTATCAACTTGTGGAATACTTGTCTGAAGAGTTTGGGTCTGTTTAGTCTGGGGAAAAAAATTATTAAGGGGTATTATAGAGATTTTTAAAGTAAGGTGGAAGAAGTGGACCAATGATGTTAATTGGCAACAGATTTATGTGAGTAAAAGAATAACTAATGTAGTTACAGCATTCATGGGAGACAACATTGATCACTGCTATTGTCTGTAACAGCTAACTTGAACATGTGAGTTCAAAGGCAGCATACCTTTGCTTTTAAGCATCCAGAGAAAAGTCTGGCTGTTGCTAGAAACAGGGCACTGCCGTTGTTAATTGTTTGCTCTCATCTAGTAGCTGCTCTTCTCCCTGGGCTATTTGAATACCCAAGCATGATGACAAGAAATCCTAAATTCTGCCAGAATAATTATATTTAAAGTAAATTGTATACTTTAACATATAACATATGTTTTGGGGGTACAGTATTTACTTTATGAACAATCTAGATTTTCCTTTTTTATGGGGAAAGTAGGTTGAAAATTAGATTCCCGAAACATGATTTGTTTGACATCGAAAACTGAATTGTATATTTATCCTCAGGAGCATAGCCATGAGAGCTACAGGTATCCTTTTTTAAAAGAAAGGGTTTTCTAAAATTTTGACAGATATCAGAAGATTACTGTAGATATCTGTTATGCAGGTTCAAAGGATGCTCATCCTACAAAAGTTACATATAGAGTTGTGATAATTAAGATAAATGAGCCAGTGGGATACAAGGCTAGACACCATTAATCCTTTTTACCCTGCAGCACTATCCTCTCTTACTACTTTTTTAATTATAAAAAATCAAAACAACTATAAAGAATAAATTTCTCTTTTCCCATCTATCTGAGAAAAAAATATTTCCTGCAATTTTGTACAACTGTCAGATTCTGCAAACATGTTCCTAGATTGGAACTAGACTACATTCACACCATGAGAAACAATCAGCTTAAACATTTTGCAGGAACAGTTTTTTTCTGCCACCATTGTTTTTTTCACTAGAGAGAAGAGAAAGGAAAGGGATGACTCCATCTATTCTGGGCTCTGATACCCACTATCAGCATGGAGTTCCTGGCAGATTGCCCTTGAGAGTATGCAGCTTTTGCTGGGGAAAAGATCCCCACCATTTCCTAAACAGCTGGCAGAGGGCTATGCCTCTAAGGAAGCTTGGTTATTAAAGCTTTAATTCTGTTTGGGGCCTTGCTGATGGTTCCTGGATAAAGCTTGTCCATCACCTAAAAAATTCAACTACCGTATTTTTCTGACAATAAGATGCCCCCATGTACAAGACGCCCCCCCACTTTTCCAACCCAAAATTAAGAAATCAATATTTTAAAGATAGTGCAGAG